GACATGAATGATTTATCGCGCCTTAGGAAATGTTTAAGTTGCGGAACAGTTGAATTAATGAGTGAATTAAACATCCTGTATGGTGTGATTGACATCGATTCATTAATGCATTGACTTTGTAAAGTTTTGCGCTCATTCCCATCAACTTGTTTGGAAATACCACTCTTTGTTAAGTGGGTCTCCGTAGCTGTTTGGTAAGTCTTTGAATGATCAATCTTTTGATCTTAAGCGCAGTATCAACACTGCTGACTGATAGCGGATGAATGAATGAACGTCGATTGTATCCAGTCTCGTTTATAATTGCCATCAGGATATAAAGTAGCTTATCTGCCGATGTAACACTGATCAGGCATGGTATTTGAGTGAAAATATCCTTACGTTTGTCATTGATACTCAGCTTATTCTAGGTAAATTGAATTGCGAGAAATGGTTCGAATTCCATTTAGAAAGTAAAAGGAATACTTCGTATCTCCTGCTGCTATCAAATGGCCGCGGTCGCCATAAATCAAGCAGCATCCAGAAATGTTTTGTGAGCGAGTTGAGCAGAAATAAGTGCGCTGTAAGCGGCCTTACCGGTTTTCCTTTCAAGTTTAGAAATGGTTACTACAACTGACAAACGAGCAGGCGTAAGTCAGCACTCTAAAGTGTTGCAACAATTATTCAGCTGTGGCTTGCACATTTATGCAAATTTCAGTAGAGAATGCCGTGCATAATTAAGTACACTTGTACACTGTGTTCTGGTGTTTACGTTCGCTCGTTATTGATTGATTGATTTATTTGCCACTTACACACATACATGTAAAAATAGATTACATTTGTTTACAAAAATCAAAAGTAAGAACTGCAATAATATTGTTTAATAACAATCTATGCTTAAACGAGATAAAATTGCAATTTAGGGTCGTTTATTAGTAGTGTGGCGAGGAAGCCCAACACAAGCTCGAAGCTTGTCAAACCTGGGTTCCACACATGATGTAGAGGTTAGATTTGCAAACTACGGAAGGGCGAGTTTAATCTAGTTGTCTGTACATGAGGAATTTTCTAAAGCGAAGTCTTAAAGATGGAGACTCTGTGTACAGGATAAGATAAGATCATGAGGTAAGGAATTCCAAACCTTTGGACCATAGTTATACTGGAGGAATATGAAGAAACTCTCGACTTTAGGATTGAAGCGACCAAGATACGTTGAAAAATCCGAGTGAATCAAGTTTTTTCCTCTTCTTCACTATAAGGTTTAAACATGCGTTAGGTCTTAGAATAAGATCACATCCAACCCTACGAGTATTTCATGGACAAGTGAAGCTGAACAAGGTTAAAACTGAAACTTGACAAAGCCAAATAAACAATTACTGAATTAATGATTAGGATTCATCGAGCAACGTTTCTTTGCAAAAACGTCTGCCGCAGTGTGAATAGAATTGTTTTGAGGTCTAGTTCAGTACTCGTTCGGACCGGGTAGATGTAACAATATGTTCCAGGCTGATTACTGAATGGCATGGAAATGTGTGGCTCAGTCTCTGAGTGGCTTATAAGGTTCATCTCTCAGTTTCTCTCAAGTTCGATGGAGGATGATCAAAATCTAAGTGCAAAATTACTTCTGATGAAGTTTATTTTCACAACTGACATCTGCCTAGTAATATCTTTGGCT